GCGCTAACAGAGCCATATATGGGCAAACATTTAACAAAAAAAAGTATAGAAAATAGGCACAGCATTTTCCCCGGCGGCAATGGGTTATGAGTCTGTAATTGTTGCAGTTTAAGAGGTCTCCTTTCTTTGGTATAGCTATAAAAACCGACTCCTTCATTTGTCTAGGTATGACTCCACTCTGATATATTTTATTGGCAAGCTCTAATATCTTCTCTGTTCCAAGATCATCACATACTTCTATCATTTTTTTTTTTTTTTAGATTTCAGCATTTCCAGTAGCTTTGTTGTTTATTCATGGTGTTAATAGCTTTTCCAATTTCAGATTTTAAAATGTTTTCCCTGTTAATTCTCCTTTTGGATTTTCTGTTTCCGTCTCAGGTCTATCATCGCTAAATAGCTCACAGATATATTGTGCCCATCTGGTTAAGACGCTTTTTCTCGAAAATTATATGTCCATTTTTATCTTTTTTTCTTTTTTGATTTGGTCATACTCTTAATTTTATTGTACATCAATGGCTGGTCTTTCTTTTCAAGTTCTTCTATTTCATCACACTGTTTATTTATCTTTTCTTCTTTGGATTTGGCACATTTTTGTCTGATGAGCTTGTCTATCTCTTTATAACGTATAGGCTTGTTTTTTATTTTGCACTTACGTCTTTGATTCAATAATTCTAATATTTCATTTGTCATCTAAGGCTGTTTTGCTTGATTTTTTTTCTTTTGGTAAGATCTTATTAGCACTTTCTGTAAGTATCTTTTCTGGTTGGTTTTAGTTTTCACATGGGTCCGCGTCATGGTTTTCTTCAATTTCCAAGGCCTTAAATCTATTTGTGACTTCTATTTTGAATTGGTTGATAATTAAACTGTTGCTTCTAAGTACAATGAAATCGAATTTTGGCTCTTTTCATGTGATTCTAATCTTTTTGAGTCTACAATTTATTTTAGCATAATGAAGCATGTGATCAGTGTTACAATCAGCAATAGGTATTGTCTTATCTATGCTGTTTCTAAATCTTTGATTGATACATATGCAGTCTGGTTTCTGATTTGATCACCAGGGATTTTCCAGGTAAATAACCTTCTTTTGTGATGTTTGAACCAGGTGTTCATGATTGCTAGATCTCTTTCCTCACACCATTGAACATATGTTTCTCCTCAATCATTTCATTCTCCAAGTCCAAAAGGACCAACTACCATTTTATTTCCGACTTTAGAATTGAAATTGCCCATCTTTATTTCTTGACTTGTGCATTTCTCAAATGCCTTATCCAGTTGCCCATAGAAGGTCGTTAATTCTTCTTCGCTTGATGCAGAAGGTTCATAAGCTTGTACTATGTTGATATCAAATTGTTTACCTTTTAGTTTAATCATCATTATTCTATCTGATAAAGTCCAGCATCCTAGTATATATTTCGTCAGCTCTTTTTTAATCATTATTGTTCTTCGCCACCAGAGTAATATATTGTATAATTTTCCGAGCATATCTGTCCATTTCCTGTCCATCTTATTTCACATATGCCAAGTATGTCAATATTTAATCTGTCCATTTCAACCTTTACATTTTCAAATTTGCCGGCCATAAAAGTGTTCTTACATTCTAAGTACTAATATGTAAACTTAGTTTTGCAGTTGGTTTTGCAGCAGTAGCTTGATAACGGTCAGAAGTTACCTGTTGCACCTAATCATTCCTACTGGGCGAGACACCGCCAATATTGTTGACTGTACCTTTCACGCCGTTATGGTTATTCTTGTTTAGGTTCATTTTTTCATGATTTAAACTAGGGAGAGTACTAAGTGGTTTCCCGTTGCCTTCTTTGGCTACAGAATCTATCTAAGACAATAATCCTGGACATTAAATTAAGAAACAGTCATCTGCCCAGCATTTAATCTTGAGACCATTGATTTCATCCGTTAAAATTGCGTGTGTGTGTGTGTGTGTGTGTGTCATTTTCCTGCAAATATAACTCTCAGCCTAGGAGCTCTAATCAAAAATATATTGTGTGCTCTTTGGTAAGAGAAATTCTACAATGATGACTACTGCCGCATGCACAGTGCACCTAATTCCATGTAAATTATTTTTTAGCGCAAAACTTCTCTTACATCTTCGTACATCTTAATACGATCTGTGCAAGCAATGAATTAGGACATATTGACTATGATTTATTAAGTTCGTAGCGTCAGGTAATATGATGCGTAAAAACAATGTGCACTTTTGTGTCCAGGTATCATCTGAAAATCATTTTGATTGTGTATCTTTATCTTCAATTCACCGGTAACCTTTATAGGGCTGATTACTTCTTTCCCTGGAGTTCTTTTGCCGAATAGTGTGGAGAGCGGGAAGTTAGGGCGTACGGAGTAGCGTGTTTTGAGTTCGTGTGTATGTGTATGTGTATGTGTGTGTGTGTGTGTGTGTGTGTGTGTGTGTGTGTGTGTGTGTGTGTGTGTGTGTGTGTGTGTGTGTGTGTGTGTGTGTGTGTGTTCAGCCATGTTCTATTAGGAAGTTTTGTACATATTGATGCAAGTATTCCCTAGGATTTTAAATGTTTAGAGGCCTAGTTAGCCAAATCTTGACGAGAGGACGATACTCAATATTTTACCCAGTCAGCCATACCCAGCAAACAGTTACTCGGGCATATGAGATATTGGGCCGCAATATGGGCATTTGCTACTAAGAAATGAGGAATATTGTTGTGTTTCAGAGTTTATGTTTTTTTTTTCTTTCACTCGTTTGGTGCATTTTGTCCTCAGGTTATGACAACCATAACTTTACTTTATTTCTTCGATATCACTGTATAGTCAGATACAATAGCTTTCTTTATTAGTAATCATAGGCACAAATTTGAAAGTAAAGAAAGAAAACTAGCATATCTGTTGCATTAAAAAAAGAAAAGTAAATGATTGAAGCGATAAAACCACCACAATTGAAAGTTTCGGAAATTACTCAACGGTATACGGCGTTTGCCATCTTTTTTCTTTTGAAAGGTATAGATATGCTTCTCAGCCCTAATATTTTGAAAAAAAAATGTATAATTTGAATTTTCGGAATAAAATAGCTTCGTCTTTAATAAACTACCATTCAATGCTAGGTGGTCGTGCGCATCATGCAACTTTTCTGTTTGAGTGTGCCAAGTGTGCAAAAGCATACTCCTATAAATGTTCTTGTATATGTACAGCAAATTTTTCGATAAATTTATTGCCTTCTACTGTAGGATTCATAAATTTACAACATGCATACTAATTAAAGTAAAGGTATTGTCCATGTCTAAAGCCAACTGAGCGAAACGTGGCACCGCGGCGCGTGTTCCGGGCCACATCAGCCGGGGTGGCGTTTGACAGGCCGCCTCCACTCCGCGGCCTCCACTCCGCACTCCGTCAGCTGGTCTCGCCTCGCGCTACAAGGCTCCACCCTCGCCTCGCAAAATGGCTAAGAATAATCTCCGGGACAAGCTGGAGGGCAATGAACTCGACCTGAGTATGATGAGCTTGACGGAAATACCAGTGAAAGAAATTGTAAGTAAGAGAATATTAAGGAGCTCGCAACTGTTTGTGTTTATCATTGGGTGTCAGAAGGCATCAAAAAGTTGCTCTGATTATGGAAGTCTAAAATCAGGATTTTCTTTGGGAAATGGAAATGGTCTTTGTTTCTTGCAGCGTTTAATGTTATCGAGAGCGATGCACAGATAAATGGAAATGTACAGTGCTATCTTAAGGAGCATAAGAAATAGTAAACAACAACACAGGTACAGCTGCTGCGGCCTTATAAGTACCGAAAATGTCCACTGCATACCACCGCTCTGAGATGGGGAACTTGCACCCCACTGTCTAGGAAATAGATTTTAGATAGCAAAGGACAGCTTTGGAGTGCTGGGAGTTAATGTTACCAAAAGGGATGCAAAGGGGTAGAGGGAAAAGGATACTTCCATCTTATAGAACTAGCGGTCAATATGTAGAAGAGGGTAGTGGGTTACTTTTGCAACAATTTTGCTATTTTTTCTGCATGAAATCCACTGCGTTCAATGATTCTAGGCATTGTTTCTTGTGCAAATGAATTGTTGGAGATATGATCACAATCTCCATCGACAATCTTGATTTGATTGTCCTGACAGCAGGGGAGGGCATGAAGTATATCAGGAAAATTATGGGGTAAAGCAGCACCTCCATGGTTGTTAACCCATTCACCCCGGATTTATGGGTTAAATTTCCAAAAATGACAACCGGGTCTTCCCTGACAATCTTTATATCATCAGATTTGTTCTCGCATGATGAGAACGAATCTGATGATATTCTCCGTCGGATTCTCGAGCCGACAATCTTGATGTGTTTTGATAAGTCCCGATAGCAAGGGAGGGCATGAAGTAGATCAGGGAAATTACAGGGTAAAACAGGCTGAAATAAGAAAAATAGAGAGCAGAAATGTGTAAAACAAGCACAAAAAACGCTTAAAATCGGCTAATGAAACTCTACAGACATCGCCGCATCTTTGAAAGTTAACAGACCGATGCGCCAAATTTTGAAAAACTATACGGGAACCAAACCCACCATTCGATAAGAATCTACGGGATTTCACATAATCCAGATCCCCTGTGGTAATTGTACAATGCGTCCTAACCAATAAACTAACCTAACCTAACCAACCTAACCCTGTGGGATTTATATACTATGATCTATATATTCCCTAGTAGCCCCCTGGATCCCCGTGGCTTTACGAAAATACGATCTGTATATTACCTAGCCCCCCCGGATCCCCAGGGTTAAACTGCATACCTTTATAAAGCGAAAAACCGAACTTTTGTGCGCTTCCGTCTATGGTCAGAATTGCTTGGTTTCTAATCACTTTTTTTGGCATTTGGGGCACTTGTTGGGCTCAAATATCAGGCTTGTGATTGAGAATAATGTCTATTTGTCCTGTATATCCACAATATAGTTTTAAAAATAACCCGATGTCGACACAGCACTTGAAATGAAACACCACCAGTGTTTCTCAGCGAATGGCGGTGGGTCAACCTGTCAAATCTCCCAGTGAAAACGCGCATGCGCAAAAGGTTCTTGTACAGAATAACGTAAATAATTACCAAAAGACGCAAGAGAAGTATAATAAAACTAGAAGAATGCATTACTTGCTGGATAAAAATAAGGGAGTTACAGGACAGAGAAGACAGATGATTGACCCTTCATTTTCTGTCCCCTTCCATGTTTACCTCATGAGGATCAAAACAAATGTGATGCGTAACTCATTACTGCGATCCAGCAAGTAGTCCATGTATTGCTACGCGCTTGTGAGAATGCTTATTTTGTCATTACTAGCGTCTGATTCTCTGAATTCATTTATGTAATGCATTCTTCTAGTATTATTATACTTCTCTTGTGTCTTTTGGTAATTATTTACGTTATTCTGTACAAGAACCTTTTGCGCATGCGCGTTTTCACCGGGAGATTTGACAGGTCGACCCACCGCCATTCACTGAGAAACACTGGTGAAAAATGTTTCATTTCAAGTGCTGCGTCGACATCGGGTCATTTTTAAAACTATATTGTGGATATACAGGACAAATAGACATTCTCAATCACATGCCTGATATTTGAGCCCAACAAGCACCCCAAATGCCAAAAAAAGTGATTAGAAACCAAGCAATTCTGACCATAGACAGAAGCGCACAAAAGTTTGGTTTTTGCTTTATAAAGGTAAGTGGTTTAACCCTGGGGATCCGGGGGGGCTAGGTATTATATAGATCATATTTTCGTAAAGCCACGGGGTCCAGGGGGAGTAGCCCCCTGGCTAGGCGTATATATTACTACGGGGGGGTCCAGGGGGCATAGCCCCCAGGCTAGGCGTACATATTACCAAGGGGGTCCAGGGAATGTATAGTTCGTAGTGTATAAATCCCACAGGATTTGGTTAGGTTGGTTTATTGGTCAGGACGCATTGCACGATTACCACAGGGGATCTGGATTATATGAAATCCCGTAGATTTTTACCGAATGGTGGGGTTGGTTCCCGTAGAGTTTTTCGGAAGTTGGTGTGTCGGTCCATAGACTTTCAAAGATGGCTGCGATGTCTGTAGAGTTTCATTAGTGATTTTAAGTGTTTTTTGTGCTGGTTTTACACATTTCTGCTCTCTATTTTGCTTATTTCAGCCTGTTTTACCCTGTAATTTCCCTGATCTACTTCATGCCCTCCCCAGCTATCTGGACTTATCAAATCACATCAAGATTGTCGGCTGGAGAATGCGATGGAGAATATCATCAGATTTGTTCTCATCACACGAGAACAAATCTGATGATATAAAGATTGTCAGGGAAGACCCGATTGTCATTTTTGGAAAATTAACCAAATTAATACCATTGCTATCCATACTGTTATTAATGTTATTGATGTTATGATTATTAAATTGTCATTAGAATATTGTAGACAATGAAATGATACAAAGAACCTTTTCCTAAAGTGAAAGAAAAGAGTAAATAGGTGAAACAGTTAGTTCTTAACCCAATGGCGCCGGATGTACAAAACAAAACAGAAAACTCTACGCTTAAACAAACAAAGGCGGCGCGCCGCCGGCTCGTTCGGCTGCACGCCAGCTTTCGAGCGCTTTGTTTACACGCCGATCGGCGTCACCTGGCACCAAGGGGTTAAATAAATGTGTATCAAAGTGGGCATGGCATCTATTCTTGCCACGTGGGGCGAATGGGTCAAACAAAAGGATTACAGTCGTTTTGCCCCCAGTTAATTCGGTCGCCTGACTGTGTGCATGGGGCGAAACGACTGTGGCTTGGGCCCATACGGGCAAATTAGCTGGGGGTGAAACGACCGATTACCAAACAAAATGTCCTAACCCAACGTCCAACCTAACCTAATGCTGTGGTATATTTTCCCTTGGCAGGGGACTCTGCCCCATGGACCACCGTGGTTATATATGTGTTATATATGCCCATGGTAATATATACTCTTAGCCAGGGGGCTACAACCCCTGGACCCCCATGGTAATATATGCACCTAGCCAGGGGGTTTCTCCCCCTGAACTCTTGTAGTAATATATATGCCTAGTCAGGGGGCTATGCCCCCTGGACCCCTGTGGTAGTATATGCATCTAGAATTCACCCTTGCAATGTAAACAAGATGTGCGACTTCGCCAAAATTGGGGGATCTTCTCTTTTTTATGTACAGTGTTTTCACGTGACGTCACCAATCTCGCGTTGGCCATATTGGAGGCATTGGAGGGAGACGTATACTCAAACATTCGCGTAGATTTGCAAAGTTCATTGGCAAAATGATGAATTACTGTCGTGTCTATGGCTGTCATAGTAGGCAAGATCGAGAATCACATGTTCAATTTTATAGATTGCCCAAGATAATTCAAAACCAAGGAGAAAATACAGTAAGCCCCCAACTTAAGAACATAATGGGGACCGAGAGGCTGTTTGAAAGTTGAATTGTTCGTATGTCAAAGTCGGGTCTGCATTGCCTATTTTCCCATTGTTTTAATGTTTTGTTTACATTAAGAATACCTGTACATAAATCCCAATAAGTATGACATACCTTATACAGTACCTGTAATATGTAATGCTTTTAATATTATTTGATGGTGATTCATACAACTTTAATGTAGAAACATAATTTATTCAAAAAGAAAATATATTGTCGTGGTGATGGCTGGCGAACCGATCGATAAAATGGCATGTGGTCAGCTGAGCAGGGGAGAACACAACCAGGGCCGTCACACAACACGAAGCCTACGTCCATTAGACCGGGACGACGCCATACCATAATGAGAAAGATCGATAAACATGGATAGATTAACATGGTTTCGATCAATGGGGTTGAACAGGTGTCTATAAATCTGGGATGACTAAGGGTCTGTATATCGGGGTCAAACAGCTGCCATGGTTACCACTAGGTTATAGACTCGTGGGAATCATTGAAGCAACTGTAGCCAATGAAATCAAAGCAACCTGAGTCACATGTTGCATAATGTGATCAATCATATCATAGCCTAGTGCACTGACAGAATTTCCTTATGTGATGTTATTTATTACTATGTGGAAGTAAGATGGCAGCTGTAAAATGACATCACTTTCTCTGATGTCTTGAAAGTAGATATGATGACTTTAATGTTACTGCCTAAGCTGCATCATGTTACTTCCTCTGCTTTAATGACGTCACTTCCTCAGCCTCACGATGTAACTTCATAATTTCACTTTATGTAACCCCTTGTGAAGTGAACATTCATAATGCCACTTCATGTCTGTCTGTCTTTTTACCAACCTGCCCCTCTCTATCTCTATCTATCTCTGGTCTTTATATATTTATCTATCTATCTATGTATCATATTTATCTATCTATCTATCTATCATATTTATCTATCTATCTATCTATGTATCATATTTATCTATCTATCTATCTATGTATCTATCTCTCTATCTCTGCCTACCTGCCTGCCTCTGTCTCTCTCTGTATTTATCTGTTTGACGCTGCCTGTCTATCTTCCTCTCTCCTTAGTCTCTGCTCTTGTTTTTTTTATTTAGTTTTCTCTCTCTCCTTATCCTTCTCTTCATAACTCCCCTACTCGATCCATCTTTTTATAAAGTCAAATCCAGGTAATTGGAAGTAATAACTTCACATCTTTATATGTCCTCATGATGTAACTTGTGGATATGTGTGCAATAAGAAATTGTCTTGGAAATATCCATGTAATAAAATACATGTACGTACATGCCATGCCCATTGGCATGGCTGACCTACTGCTTCTATCAAGAAACTACCAAAGATCTAAAAACAATGATGAGTTTATAGAATTGAACATACATATAGTAAATTTTTCTTTAAAATAATTATCTCAGTTTTGAAATAAGATAAGTAATTTTTTGTAATTCAAGCACTCACTTCCTCTACTTAAAATTTGACCACAATTTTCTTCAACCTACTTGGGGTTAGTAAGATAACCAAGTTACCATTTAATAATTTCTCACAATAGAACATTCTTTTTGTCATGTGTATGTATGTATGTGTATTTTTATATCCCAAGCATAAAATTGCAACAAACAGTTTTATTTATGTATTTTTTTTTCAACAGGCGGCATTGCCAAGGGCAACCAAGATAGATCTTTCAAATAACCAGCTGACCAGTTTACCGTCCAACTTTGCCATTGCTTTAACAAATGTCACACGTGTGGATTTGAGTTCCAACAAGCTAAAAGACCTTCCTTCAAACATCCATCTGCTGCAAAATTTGCAGTATCTTGACTTGTATAACAACCAGGTGTGTAAGCCAACATTCAGTTTTCTAAAGTGTGAGCAATATATACCAGTCTCTCCCCATATCAGATGGACCACTCTTCCATAGCTGAGAAGCAGATTGGTTGACATAGAATCTTTGTGTTGCTCTCCAATTATTCAAGTCTGTTAACCCATTGCCTCCGGAGAAAGTGAATAAAAAATGGGGGAAAATGCCATGCTATTTTTTATATTTTTACGAAATGTCTCTGTACATAGATGGCTCTTCTAGTGCTTAGCCACAAAGGAGTCGTTTAGAAGATCTTGATTTCACCTTTCCTTGAATTGGCAGAAAAAACATTTTTTTTACTAGTGCTATTGATGGTGCTATTTTTATTACAAACATAATTACTATAATGTTATAAACATTAGTAACAGCAAAATAAGATAACGTAAAATATTTTCGTAAATCATTGAAAAGGGTGAACTGGCGAGACAGGCAATACTCATAACTGTCTCATTGGTGACTTCGTACAAGTGTAGCCATCTAGGTGTAAAAATAAACAAGTAAACTCTTGATGATTTTTGATATTAGGAGTATAGATTAAAGTAATTATGATGCATCTTTACTCTTGAGCTCGGGTTCTCAAAGGGGTCAATAACTTCCCAAGAAGTCAAGAGGGATCAGCAGATGGGTATAAGGATCAGAAGCAGGCTGATGAATACCAAGCCCAAGAACTCAGAAATCACTGGCAGGAATGAAAATACAAGTCAATTGCAGATTAAATCAAGTCTCAGGGTTTCAGTTAAGCTCTAGTCTCTAGTCTATACTACTTCCATTTATACAAGGTGGTATAACACTCATTGCCACCCTACTTGTCTGTGGACAGTCACACTAACTCGCACACACACACACACACACACACACACACACACACACACACACACACACACACACACACACACACATACTTGACTGGACTTCAAAAGAATGCAATCCTTGGCTAACACACTCAAACATTGTTATCATGTATGGCTAAGTATGTGTGTGTGTGTGTGTGTGTGTAAGTGTTTGCCTCTCCACAGACAGGTAGGGTGGTGATGTGTACTTTACCGTTTGTGTAAATGGAACTAATATAGATGATTAACTTAACTGGAACCTTAGTTAATATTTGCCACTAAAGACATTATGTGGAAACCCATCATTGCCAGAATTCAATACATTTTTAATTTTTTTCTTAATCCTTTCTAAAGCTATCACCATATAATCATTCCACTAGTTTGTATTCTTAATACTAAAGATCATGCAGGAGAACAGTTCTAATTATAGAAAGAGGACTGTAGTGTGAATTAATGGACAGCAACAGGAATATTGCATTGCTTCTGAGCAATGGATGTGAGGAGTTTCTTCTGGCCAGATACAAAATGTGATTTTAGTGAATGCCCTCTGTACATAATAGACTTGGATATTCCCAAGTTATGAGAGATACATTTATGGTCAAAGGAGTAAAATGGGGCAATGGGAGGTATAAGATGGCTCATAGAAAGTGTCAGATTATGTTGTAATTATAGGATTCCCTTCAAAGAATATATATTGAAAAGAAATTGTCATCATTTTTACTTTTTTTCTGATACATACTATGTTGTAGTTGACAGATTTACCAGTGACATTCTGTCAGTTACGGAAACTCAAGTGGCTTGACCTAAAGGGCAACAATCTCAACCCAACTTTGAGGAAAGTGGCTGGGGATTGCCTCAACAAGAAAGAGTGTGAAGCTGCTGCTCGCAACGTTATAGCACATCTGAAACAAAGACAGGTTCAGATGGAAAACGAAAGACTACAGAGGCTTAAGAGAGAGGAAGGTTTGTTTAGATGTTCATATATCTGTAGGTATTAGGGTTTGAAGCTAATACAAGTCATGATTAAAGACTGCCCTTGGAAAATTAAGTTATGGAAAGGTTAGATACATTGGTATGGTTCCACAGCATATGCCTCTTCTACCCAATCGTAATAAAGTACATATAAGTTGTCAACCATTTTTACATTTCTGAGATTTTTTTAATAGGACATTGAAAGAGCATCTTAAAATACTTTTCACACAACAGAGATGGAGGCTGCCAGGCTCCGAGCAGAAGAAGAAAAGCAGGCCAAAAAGCGAGCCGAAAGGAAAGCAGCAAAAGAGAAAAAGAAAGCAGAACAAGTTCCACTTATTAAGGTCAAGTCAGAAGCCAATGGAAGAACACCTGTACCTTTGAAGGTTGTAGCACCAAGAACCTCTAACAAAAAAGAGAAAAAGAAGTCCAAACAAGGTAAAAATTCTCATTAAGATTCTCTCTCCTTTCTCTTTCTCTGTCACTTGCTGTCTCCTTTCTCTCTCTCTGTCACTTGCTGTCTCCTTTCTCTCTCTCTGTCACTTGCTGTCTCCTTTCTCTCTCTCTGTCACTTGCTGTCTCCTTTCTCTCTCTCTGTCACTTGCTGTCTCCTTTCTCTCTCTGTCACTTGCTGTCTCCTTTCTCTCTCTGTCACTTGCTGTCTCCTTTCTCTCTCTGTCACTTGCTGTCTCCTTTCTCTCTCTGTCACTTGCTGTCTCCTTTCTCTCTCTCTGTCACTTGCTGTCTCCTTTCTCTCTCTCTGTCACTTGCTGTCTCCTTTCTCTCTCTCTGTCACTTGCTGTCTCCTTTCTCTCTCTGTCACTTGCTGTCTCCTTTCTCTCTCTGTCACTTGCTGTCTCCTTTCTCTCTCTGTCACTTGCTGTCTCCTTTCTCTCTCTCTGTCACTTGCTGTCTCCTTTCTCTCTCTGTCACTTGCTGTCTCCTTTCTCTCTCTGTCACTTGCTGTCTCCTTTCTCTCTCTGTCACTTGCTGTCTCCTTTCTCTCTCTCTGTCACTTGCTGTCTCCTTTCTCTCTCTCTGTCACTTGCTGTCTCCTTTCTCTCTCTCTGTCACTTGCTGTCTCCTTTCTCTCTCTCTCTGTCACTTGCTGTCTCCTTTCTCTCTCTCTCTGTCACTTGCTGTCTCCTTTCTCTCTCTCTCTGTCACTTGCTGTCTCCTTTCTCTCTCTCTCTGTCACTTGCTGTCTCCTTTCTCTCTCTCTCTGTCTCCTTCTCTCTCTCTGTCACTTGCTGTCTCCTTTCTCTCTCTCTCTGTCACTTGCTGTCTCCTTTCTCTCTCTCTCTGTCACTTGCTGTCTCCTTTCTCTCTCTCTCTGTCACTTGCTGTCTCCTTTCTCTCTCTCTCTGTCACTTGCTGTCTCCTTTCTCTCTCTCTGTCACTTGCTGTCTCCTTTCTCTCTCTCTCTGTCACTTGCTGTCTCCTTTCTCTCTCTCTCTGTCACTTGCTGTCTCCTTTCTCTCTCTCTCTGTCACTTGCTGTCTCCTTTCTCTCTCTCTCTGTCACTTGCTGTCTCCTTTCTCTCTCTCTCTGTCACTTGCTGTCTCCTTTCTCTCTCTCTCTGTCACTTGCTGTCTCCTTTTCTCTCTCTCTGTCACTTGCTGTCTCCTTTCTCTCTCTCTGTCACTTGCTGTCTCCTTTCTCTCTCTCTGTCACTTGCTGTCTCCTTTCTCTCTCTCTCTGTCACTTGCTGTCTCCTTCTCTCTCTCTCTGTCACTTGCTGTCTCCTTTCTCTCTCTCTGTCACTTGCTGTCTCCTTTTCTCTCTCTCTGTCACTTGCTGTCTCCTTTTCTCTCTCTCTCTGTCACTTGCTGTCTCCTTTTCTCTCTCTCTGTCACTTGCTGTCTCCTTTCTCTCTCTCTCTGTCACTTGCTGTCTCCTTTCTCTCTCTCTCTGTCACTTGCTGTCTCCTTTTCTCTCTCTCTCTGTCACTTGCTGTCTCCTTTCTCTCTCTCTCTGTCACTTGCTGTCTCCTTTCTCTCTCTCTCTGTCACTTGCTGTCTCCTTTCTCTCTCTCTCTGTCACTTGCTGTCTCCTTTCTCTCTCTCTGTCACTTGCTGTCTCCTTCTCTCTCTCTCTGTCACTTGCTGTCTCCTTTCTCTCTCTCTGTCACTTGCTGTCTCCTTTCTCTCTCTCTGTCACTTGCTGTCTCCTTTCTCTCTCTCTCTGTCACTTGCTGTCTCCTTTCTCTCTCTCTCTGTCACTTGCTGTCTCCTTTTCTCTCTCTCTGTCACTTGCTGTCTCCTTTCTCTCTCTCTGTCACTTGCTGTCTCCTTTCTCTCTCTCTGTCACTTGCTGTCTCCTTTCTCTCTCTCTCTTCTCTGTCACTTGCTGTCTCCTTTTCTCTCTCTCTGTCACTTGCTGTCTCCTTTTCTCTCTCTGTCACTTGCTGTCTCCTTTTCTCTCTCTCTGTCACTTGCTGTCTCCTTTTCTCTCTCTCTGTCACTTGCTGTCTCCTTTTTCTCTCTCTCTGTCACTTGCTGTCTCCTTTTCTCTCTCTCTGTCACTTGCTGTCTCCTTTCTCTCTCTCTCTGTCACTTGCTGTCTCCTTTCTCTCTCTCTCTGTCACTTGCTGTCTCCTTTCTCTCTCTCTCTGTCACTTGCTGTCTCCTTTCTCTCTCTCTCTGTCACTTGCTGTCTCCTTTCTCTCTCTCTCTGTCACTTGCTGTCTCCTTCTCTCTCTCTTCCTTGCTCTCTTCTCTCTCTCTCTGTCACTTGCTGTCTCCTTCTCTCTCTTCTCTCTTCGCTCTCTCTCTCTCTCTCTCTCTCTCTCTCTCTCTTGCTCTCACTCTTGCTCTCTCTCTCTCTTGCTCTCACTCTTGCTCTCTCTCTCTCTTGCTCTCTCTCTCTCTCTTGCTCTCTCTCTCTCTTGCTCTCTCTCTCTCTCTTGCTCTCTCTCTCTCTCTCTTGCTCTCTCTCTCTCTCTCTTGCTCTCTCTCTCTCTCTCTTGCTCTCTCTCTCTCTCTCTTGCTCTCTCTCTCTCTCTTGCTCTCTCTCTCTCTCTTGCTCTCTCTCTCTTTCATGATTGTACAAAAGCTATTACTTTTTATTGTTATAGTTGTCTTTGGAATAATGTTTGTATTAAATTCATTAATATTTATTGTTTCTTTTTATATCAGCAACAAGATCATCCCTCCTTGGCTGGCTGAACTTGCTGCTTATGGTATGCCTTATGGGCACACTATCTGGTGGTGTATATCTTTACACTGATGGAGATTTCTCACAGAAAGGTCTTAATGCTGCTTTCACAAAACTGTTGGAAAACTCTTATACACTGGCAGATATCACTGCCGAAGCATTCCAGCCTGAAAATTTGAAAGTGACAGCTCAGACTGTTAGCAAGAATATTGTTGATAGTAGTTCAGCTGCCTGGGCTGCACTTGAGGAATATACAGGAGACCTCAGTGTGTACACAACCCCAGTCATTGACATTACAGCACAAGGACTGAATTGGCTGAAAGAAAAGTCAATTCTGTGTTATGAATGGATCTACAACAACATTGATTGGGCATATATTGTGGAAACCATAAGATCTGCTCTAGATTTCTTGCATGGACAGTGGCTAGTTGTTTGTGAAGAATTGAGTAAAAATAAAGCTTTCATGTCAGGAGTTGAAACCATTAGGACACATGCTGCTAATATATTAGAATTTCTTACCCTTTTATGGGGTTCGTTGTGTAAACAGCTAGGCATTTTTGTAGAATATATTCAAGAAGAAGGTCCAGGCATATTGGCCACAGTGAAAGAGCAGGCAGCTGGAGCCTTGCATGCTGCCAAACAGTCACTGGAAGGTCTAGTAAAGTAGATCTAATCATAAACATCTTTTATGCTGTGTCATTTAATTTTCCTTGAAAAAGTATGTTGTTAGTTATGGTGGGTATTTTGTTTTCCACATTGATGAAATATGTTGTTTCCACTTGATGTGTAATTGTTTATTATTATTTTTTATTTTTGTTAAATATTTTAATTCATTCTTTGGGTGCTATGATTTTGTTGATTTGTAATCATCTAGTTTCATATCCTGAGCTGCAGGATTTTGGTGCCAGTTCTTGAGATTCAAGACCATTTATATCAAGAATAAGAAACAGGCTTGATTGTTTAATACTACTTTATGTTAAAAGTATACTCATACAATATTAAAAGATCTCAGAGTTTGAGAATTTATGATATGGTTGGGAATATGCTCTATGCCAAATGTTCTTGTTATATTGTACAGAAGTGTCTGTATATTGTGCAAGACTATTATATACATATTGTTCTGCTATGCAAATTTAGCAACTGCAGGGATTGTTTATTGCAGTACATGGGTTTGGCTGTTAAAGAATTATATATTTTGGTGAATTAAAATATTGAGGTGTATTCATCAATAATTGTGAAAAAAATATGCATCATTGCATGGAAGGTTACTCAGCTGATCGTCAAGGGAACTCTAAAGGTTGATCACTCAGTTGTCTTTAGAAATTATTCTAGATATATTTTGGAAAATATTACCAGGAACATGGGTTCTGAGAGTTCAGCTTTGTGTAGTACCTGTTTTACATCATTAAATACCCTTTTGAGTAAAAAAAAACTTTTAAAAACCTTGTATATGCTGACATTAATATGCCATGGAAGTATGCTAGAATTTCAAGATTCAATTTCGAATATGATATTCATCTGTGTCATCAGAAACAAGAAGGCAAAGTTTCCTTTCATAACCGCCTCGACTGCTTCCGCCATGTCACTATTGTATCCGGATCCCAAGCATTACCATTATAACCTCACTGGCAAACCCTTTCATGCCCAACTTTATCCCTTCATCAATTACCCCCACCTATCTTCCCTTCACCGACCTCCCAACCTATCAGACATCCTTACAGAATCCCACACTTTCTGCATCAACAACCTGTTCTCTTTCCTCAAACGCATACATATCCTTTATCTAATCTAACACCCGACCTTAACCCTTTGACTCACCAATTCCTTTGCCCAGCTTAGACAACTAATCACTAACTCAACCACCTTTCACTAACATTAACTATAGTGCTACATGACCTTAGATGTCTAGCACATTTATCTTGCTTTTAACCATTAACCATTAACCATTTATCCCCCCCCCAATCCCTTGCCCGTTGTTGTCGTGGGGGGGCTTAGGAGGCGGAGACTGGGATCCAATGATGGGGAACTCCCCAACCTTGGGACTCAGCCCTCGACTCAACTAATTGTGCATGGTCTTTTTTTCCCTTCCCACTTTTGTTTCTGTCCCTTCACCAAACCCTTCTGCTATCCACCTCCTAAGGTGTGAGAGCCGTGCTGAAAGGATGAAAGGCTGACTTTGTGCCAGTCCTGAACGGCCTGAGGGAGCCATGGGCACGGTATTCCCCTGATTTAGTATCTAGCCCTTACCCCTCAAGGGGACCCTGAGGGGTGGACTGTTTTTATCCCCAACATAACCAGGCTTACCATGGCCAGTAATGAAAATATATCCCCACTGTTAGGGGCAATGAGGCTTGCCCCTTTATCAAATAGCCCCAAAGAAGTAAACCCACCCGATTCCCTGACCCCAGGCTCTCCTTTGACCACGGCTCCAAACACTGCAATAACTGCCCCTTCACCAATGCCTACTAGTACAGTAGCCAACAATCAACCCTCAAGGAACATTTCCACTCTCCCAGCATGCCCAACTTCAACACCTCTACCCCCACAACCTCCAACATCAACCACCCCATCCTCCCTTATTAATACCTTACAGCCTTATAGCCCACATCTCCATAACACTACCTCCATCAACACTACTCCATCTTCGTCACGCCCTCGCCCTTCTACCACCCCTATCTCTAAAACAATCTTGAATACTCTCTTTAGTGCAGCCAAATGGGACCGATTTTTCGTGATCCCTCCCACAGCTCCCTACTCTGACAACACCCTTCTCTTCCAACAATGCCTCCAAAAACAAGTAGGTAAAGTCTCTTTCCGTAGCCGGCCCGACCGCTCCCGTCTTGTAACAGTAACATCCGAAAACCAAACCATTGTATTAACAAAACTAACTGACCTATACGGTAACCCCATCCTAGCAGAACCCCATCCAACCCTCAATACTTGCACCGGAACAGTCTCAATCTCACCAGCAAATTGCCCAATCTATGACAAAGATTGGTCAGATTGTGGAGGAGATCTACTTGCCTGTCTCACAGACTACGATGCAACATCAGTACAATGCTACTCCATCCCCCCCAGAGGTCATCGAAAGAAACCCACTAACATAGCCAAAATTACCTTCCGTAGACATGACCTTCCCTTTAACGTCTACATAGGAGGAGAATCCCTCCCTGTTCGTCCATACCAACCTCCTCCACGTCAGTGCCAAAATTGTTGGCGTCTAGGACACCCAGCCAAATATTGCCGTTCCACAGCCAGATGCCCACTATGTGCCCAACCTGGCCATACCCGATCTAACTGCTCTGCACAATCACGCACATGTGCCAACTGTGGCGGCCCCCATAATGTATTTTATAGGGGCTGTCCCACCTACAAATTTGAATCTGAGGTAGCAACTCTCAGATTCAAACTTGGACTCACACTACGTGAAGCCAGACAGGAAGCACGTCGACGTGGATTCTCTCTTACTCCTTACTCCAGTAATACTGCTCATTCTAACACTTCTAAACCCACCCCTCCTACATCTAACTCCCCCACTTCTACCTCCTACATCTAACTCGCCCACTTCTACCTCCTACATCTAACTCCCCCACTTCTACCTCCTACCTTCCCCAGTCAAACTCTTTTGCCATCCTAAATCCAGAAACTCCAATCTCTAACACAGATACTCCAATCACCACTACAACCCCAACACCTTCCCCTCTCCCTCCTCGCACTCCCCGTAACAGACAGAACAAACGTTCCACCCCCTCTTCCCCTACCACACAATCACCTCCACCATCCTTTGCCCCTACTCTTGAGACACCAGTCCTTTCTTCCCCCCCTCACAAGAAATCCTTTATCCCCCACAACTCCCCAACCAACTCCTCAGAAGAAACTATTGAAAATATTCAAGATTACTTAATGCAAACTGACACTCAACCTACAACCCCTGCTCCTTCCACACTCCAGGTAACTGCCGATATCCATCCCCCTCCTAACAATATCCCCCCTACACCCTATCCTCCTACCCCCTCCCAACACAGCCCATCCCCCCCGACCCCGACCCCAACCCAGCCCACATTAACCCTCCCACCATCCCCTCTATCCCTTCCTCTCCCTCCTGGATACACACGTGAATCCCTTATGTCACAAGTATCCCCTTCCTCAGACCCTCCATCTCCTAATACCCCTCCTGATAGAACACCAACTCCCACATCTCTCCCATCTCAAACCTCTGTCCTTATCCCACCCTCTAGCTGCTTCCCCCTCAAAGTCTCCAACACGTACTGCAATCTATATCACTAAATCAACGAAAGTATAACTATCCTTCATTGGAATATTCGCGGTTTCCGCTCCCACAGACCTGACCTTCGTCATATCCTTTCCTCTTATAACCCATCTATTGTATGCCTTCAAGAAACCTTTCTTACACATCCTCCAATACCAATCCCCAATTATCATTTTGTCTCTTCCCCACATTCCCTTTATGTCTCGTCCATACTTATCAATCAGAAAACACCTTATGTCACACCACCCTTTCAAACCAATGTCCCTTGTACAGTTATTCGTATCTTCCTTCATCGTTGGATCACAGTGATTTCAGTCTACTTCTCCCCTTCCCACCCCATTGACTTTGTTGCTTTTGAAAATCTAATTTCCCAACTTCAAACACCTTTCCTCATAGTAGGCGACTTTAACTGCCGCCACACTCTTTGGGGTGATTCTATTACCAACTCCCGAGGCCGATCTCTAGAGCGCTTCCTCTCCACAGCTGACCTTACTATTCTAAATTCAGATCGCCCCACACACTTTGATACACGCACACAATCTTTTTCATGCATTAACCTCTCTCTATGCTCCCCTTCTCTTCATATAGATTTCCACTGGTCAGTCTTAGACCACTTTCCCTATAGTGACCACTTTCCAGTTCTTTCTCCTACTTCATATGTACCACTTCCTAACTCCCCACGCTGGTGCTTTGATAGAGCCGACTGGCATACTTTCACTTCACTCTCTGCTATTCATACCCCTCCATCCTCCCTCACCTCCATTTCAGAAATGATACAATGTTTCACAAGTACAGTCTTAAGAGCTGCACATACAGCTATCCCTCGAACCTCAAGACCATATACCTCTAAATGTGTTCCATGGTGGAATTCTGATTGCACTAAAGCACTTCGCTTAAAACGTGCAGCCTGGAACAGTTACCGCTACAAGAGAGGTACTCCAAATCAACTATCAGCCCTTATCTCCTTTAAAAGAGCATCTGCCTGTCTTCGTCGTACAATCCGGAATAGTAAAACAAATAGCTGGCGAAATTATGTTTCATCAATTACATCCTCTACATCTATCTCAAATGTATGGCGACGAATCCATAAACTATCAGGCAAACATCCCCCCCATCCTGCCCCCGTCCTCCATATTCGAGATACCCTCATTTCTGATCCTCTCCAAGTCGCTAATGAACTGGGTGATTATTTCAGCCAGGTCAGTAGTGGCTCTCACCTTTCTCCACACTTCTCTTCTATCAAGACCACCAGAGAACGTACCCCCATTACCTTCACCCCATCCTCCGCCCCATTTTCTTCCTCTGAACTCATTACTGCCCTACAATCGTGCCGCAACGCTCATGAAGGCACTGACGGTATTCACTACCGTATGCTCCGGCAACTCCCATCTTCCTCCTTATCCTTCCTATTAAAAATTTACAACCACATATGGACATCAGGAAATTTTCCTTCTAATTGGCGAGAAGCTCTTATCCTTCCCTTCCTGAAACCCAATAAATCGGGTACCCTCCCTCAAGACTATCGCCCCATCGCACTAACTAGCTGCTTGTGCAAACTATTAGAGCGAATGGTGAACTTGCGCTTAATGTGTTATCTTGAATCTCACAATCTTTTCTCGCCTTCCCAATTCGGTTTTCGCCGTGCCAGAAGCACAGCTGACGCCCTTGCTCATTTTGATACATATATTACATCCGCATTTGCACGCCATGAATTCGTACTAGCTATATTTTTTGATCTAGAAAAAGCATATGATACGACATGGCGGTACCATATTCTCCAACAATTGTCCTCTCTAGGCATACGTGGAAACATGGGTGTCTTCATAAAGTCTTTCCTCTCCCAACGCACTTTTCAGGTCAAAATTGCTTCTGCCACATCATCTTTCTTTCCTCAACGAAGGTGTCCCACAAGGCAGTGTGCTCAGTACCACTTTATTCCTTCTTGCTGTTAATGATATTGTCTCAGTTTTACCACCAGGAGCCCGGTCATCACTATATGTTGATGATTTAACCATCTATGCCTCTGGCACATCCATACCAAATCTCTACCAATTTCTTCAATCTGCAATCTCATCAGTATCTTCTTGGGCCACAAACCATGGCTTCCACTTTTCTACCTCTAAATCTTTCTCCATCCTTTTCTCTCGCTCACGTGTAAGTCC